TCAGCATCACTCGCCTGTTTGGGAACAATTATGACCAGGAGCAGAGCCTCAATGACATCCTCCTTGTACAGCTTGGGGGGGACCTGGGGAGCTCAGAGGGGTGGGACCAGCAGGACTCACGGGTCCCTCATTCCTTCATTCCTTCAGCAAACACCTATTGAATACCTACTGTGTACTAGGCCATGAGATTTTGTCCGGTTCTTCACTACTGGACCCTTGGGGCTTAGAACAGGACTTACACAGTTGGTACCCTATAAGTTCTCTCCGAGTGAATGAATGAATGAATGAATGAATGTGATCATGAGTGACAAATGCCACAAAGGGGAGGCCCGTGGGGTCCAGACAGAGCTTACGGCACGTGCAGAGGCTCCAGGGAGGCCCTTTGAGGCGCTGGTATGGTGGGAGGGGTCAGGAGGTGGGGGGGCTTGAAGAGGGGGTGGCCTCAGGGTCCTGGGGACAGGGTCTCACCGCTGCCCATGCCCCGTTCCAGCTGGACCGACCGCCCAGCCACCCTCCGCGCTGAGGTCGCAGTGGCCCAGCTGCCGCAGCAGAATCAGCAGCTGCCCCACGGCACCCAGTGCCTGGCCATGGGCTGGGGGCGCCTGGGCACCCACGCCGCAGTGTCCCGGGTCCTGCAGGAGCTCAATGTCACCGTGGTCACCTTCCCGTGCCGGCCGCAGAACGTGTGCACGTGGGTGCCCCGTCGCAGGGCTGGATTCTGCTTCGTACGTCCCCCTGCCCCGGAGTGGGAGGGGGCTCGGGACCACCGTCCAGGGAAAGGCGACAGGGGCGCCGGCGGGACCAAGTCCCGCCTCCCCACCACGCAGCTGCGCTCCAGCTGCGCTTGGTGCCTCCGTCTCCTCACCTGGAAGGTGGCGTGTCCCCCGTGAGGCTACAGCGGGGCGGGGCGGGGAATGGCCACAGCCCAGGCACAGAGTGGACGCTCGCGTGTGTCCTGCTGCCTTTGTGGGTCTGGGGCCTTCTCTTCACCCTGAGCCCTCTCGGAGCACGGCAAGGCATGGCGGACCCATCCTCCTCCTTCTGGGGCCCCCAACCGGAGTCCAGCGGTCCAGGTATCCAGCAGGAGGCTACTAAACGATCCCGTCCTCCAGAGCGGCCTCTCTCTCATTCACACGTTCTAAAGAAAATCCAAACTGGAGACAGCATGTGGCCATCCCCTGCCCCCTTTCCCTGACACAGCCACGCCTCAGCCCAGCCTGGGTGACTGACCACGCCGTCCCCGCCCTCCCAGGGAGACTCTGGTGGCCCCTTGATCTGCAACGGCGTCCTGCAGGGTGTGGACTCCTTCGTGACCCAGGGCTGCGCGACCCGCCAGTGTCCTGACTTTCTTGCTAAAGTGGCCTCTACGTGGACTGGATACAGTCGGTGCTGCGCAGAGAGGGGGCGACGACAGTCCCTGAGCCGTCCCCTCCCACACACCCCCTCCCCAACTCTGAGGCCAGGTGACAAGCCCTAAAGGGAGAACTCTTGGCAGAGGTGGATCTTTCCCTGAAAGCTGCTTCTGCGCATGGACGGTCCTCGGGCTGCCCCTGCCTGTCCCAGACACCGTCTTCCTCCATCCCATGGGGCCATCAGGAGCCAGGCCAGCCCTGCACCTGCCCCATACTGATGTCAATAAAAGTTGAAACCCCCTGTCTCCTGTCTGTCCTTCCCACGCAGGGCAATGGGGGCGGGGGAGCTGCCCAGAGGGCCCCTGGATCTGAGTCCCTGAAACCCGGACTGAGGGTTGGGGGGAGTTGGAGCTGAGACCTGGAAGACCCAGGTCACAGTGGGTCTCACTGCAGATGCCCACAAAGGCTGCCAGCATGGCCATGAGCAAGTTGCTACTCATTACTGTGCCTCAGTTTTCTCATCTGGAAAATGGAGTCACCCCAGACATGTCCTAGAACAGACCCCACCCTGACTCTCGGGGATCCAGCTCTGTGTCTCCCAGCTCAGGGGCTCCCTGAGGTCCAGGCGTGATAACATGGGTTGGTCAGGCCTGTGACGGGGCCTGAAGGGCTCCTGATCCAGCCGGGGGCAGGCAGAGGCACTGTCAAGGGGCCTTCCTGGAGGAGGTGGCGGTGCCTGAGCTGACTGCCAAAGCGTGAGTAGAAACTTAGAGGAGGCCCGCCAGGCAGGGGCACCCCCAGCGCGAAGACTCCGTCAGGAACCAACCAGCAGGGCGTGTGGTGTGGGGAAGGAGAGCAGTTGGGGGGATGAGGCCCGAGCATTGGGGACACTTGCCACAGCAGGGACACTTACCGCAGTGAGGGCGCAGACTCTTTCTCATGGGAGAAGTAGGCAGGAAAGGGGTCCCCCTGGTAGTGGCATGAGGAATGAGCTGGGGCGGGCACAGAGGGGAAGTCTAAGGCAGGGAAGAGGGAGGGGTCATCATAGACCCCCGTGGAGGGCGAGTGGCCACACACGCCACAGAGAGAGGGGCCAGCTTGCTCCAGGACATGCCGCCAGGTGGAAGGCAGCACCTCCTTTATTGATTACTCTGCCGCCCCCTGGTGGCAGCGTGCCGACTCAAGCCAGCGCAAGAA